GGCTTATTGCTCAAAGAGCAATTGCCGGCTTATGTGATCCTGTTCAAGGCAGGATGTTGACCCCATAGTCGCCATTTTAAAGTTACGTGCAAAAATATTGTTCTTACTCTCAACCGCTTTTGAGATAATACAAACGCTAAATAAAGCAACAAAAATAAGACGAAGTTTTATCTGTATAAAATAAACATTAGTAGTAATGACTTTGAAAACTTCATAAGTCAAAGAACATAGTTCATTAGCGTAAGGATTTTTGATAATCAGTGTTACCGTAGTTCTCTACACATACGAGGTAAAGCTGGAGAGGGAACCAGACTGGCCTGTTTGTTTACATTCAGCTGCGGTACCAGATTAATTCTGATTCTGACAAAATCGGACCGTGGTATTAGGATTGAAAAACTCACTGTCAGTGTCTTATCGTTTATATTGATAGTTTTAAAATAATAATAATAATATTAACGTGATCAATGTAAGAAATCCATTCTACTCTGTAAATGAGCCCGGCTCTCTGTACTTCTGAGTACTTTGATTGTTTTATGTCAAAAGGTTTTACTGTAAATGCCGGAAGATTCAGAGTGTTACTATTGATGACATATCCATAAAATCTCGAACAGGATGTGTAACAACAAACAACAAATCAACAAGATGTGTTTGTGAAACACTGATGCCCCCGTATGGCGAATTAGCAAAGATTAAACTTTTCTTAAATGCAAATTTAATAGATAAGTACCAAAAGTACGGTATTCTCGTTTAAAATACAATTGTGAAATATAAAAGTAGGTCAAGGTTAAATTTTTTTTTTCATAAGTAGGGAAATCTTCAAGGTCAAGATCATTGGTATCCGATGAAAGGTCTTGCCACAAAAAATACATATGTAAAGTATGAAAGCCCTAGTCCCGACCGTTCAGAAGTTATAGCGATGGTTAAAAAATTTTAAAATGAGGTCAAACTCCAAGGTCAAAGGTCTTGCTATCAAATGAAAGGTCTTGTCACAGGGATTAAATATGCAAAGTATGAAAGCACTAGCCCTAACCCTTTAAAAGTACTGGTCAAGGTTTGCTTTTTAAAAGTAGGTCAAACACCAAAGTCAAGGACAAAGGGTCAAAGTTCTTGGAATCCAATGAATTGTCTCCTCACAAGAATTACATGTACATAATAGAAGTATGAGATCACTAGCCCATACCGCTCAAAAGTTATGGCCAAAGTTAAAGTTTTTTCATAAGTACAAAAAATCTCCAAGGTCAAAGTCAAAAGGTCAAGGTAATTGGTATCCAATGAAAGGTCTTGCCACATAGAATACATAGTAAAGTATGGAAGCCCTAACCCTAACCGTTCAGAAGTTATGGCCTAGGTTAATTTTTTAAAAAGTAGGTCAAACTCCAAGGTCAATGCCAAAGGGTCAAAGGTCTTTCTACCAAATGAAAGGTCTTGTCACAAGGATTATCTATGTATAGTATTAAAGCACTAGTCTTAACCCTTTCAAAGTTACAGTCAAGGTTTGCTTTTTAAAAGTAGGTCAAACTCCAATGTCAAAGGGTCAAAGTTCTTGGTATCCGATGAATGGTCTTTTCACAAAAATTACATATTTGAAGTATGAAAGCCATATCCCTTACCGTTCAAAAGTTATGGCCAAGGTTAAAGTTTTTTCACAAGTAGGAAAATCTCCAAGGTCAAAGTCAAAAGGTCAAGGATGTTGGTATCCAATGAAAGGTCTTTCAACAAAGAATATATATGTGAAGAATATAGGTCACGGTATCTACTGTTCAAAAGATATGGCCAAAGTAAAAGTTTGGAATTTTTGTGTAGAAGTGGGTCAAACTCCAAGGTCAAGGTGAAAAAGTCAAATTTGGGGGTACCCAAAGAAAGGTCTTGTCACAAGAAATAAACATGTGAAATATGAAAGTCATAGCTCCACTAATCAAATGTTATGGGCAAGGTTAAAGTATTTGCAGACAAACAGACAGAGAGACAGTTAGACAGACAGACAGACAGACGACTAGAACTATATATCCCGGAAACTTCGTTTACGGGGGCATAATAAGCGCTCAACGGTGGGGCGATAATGGAGTATCAAAGTTTAACATATGAATACATATAGGAAAAATCTTTTCAAATCTTCTTCTTTTTTCAAGAACAGCAAAGTCATGATTGGTCAAAGTTATATAGAAGTATCCTCTGGTAGAGTAGATTCAAGTTTGTTCAAATCATGAGCCCTGGGGGTAGGGTGGGGCCAAATTGGGGAATCAAAGTTTAACATAGGAATATATAGGAAAAATCTTTAAAACTCTTCTCAAGAACAGCAAAGTCATTATTTGCAATAGTTATAATGAAAGCATCCTTTGGTAGCATAGATTCAAATTTGTTCAAATCATGAAGCCTGGGGGTAGGGTGGGGCCACAATGGGGTATCAAAATTTAACATAGGAATATGTGGGAAAAATCTTTAAAAATTCTTCTTCTTAGGAACAGCAAAGCCAAAGTTATATGAAAGCATCCCCAGATAGTGTAGATTCAAGTTGTTCAAATATAAAAGCATAAAAAAGTAAAGATTTGGGTTTGTTCGAATACCCCCTCCCTTGAACCCACTTTTTGTCACCCGCTTTCGCTAAAGCGAGGGGACATTAAATGTCATTCGTCTCTCCGTCTTTCCGTCCGTCCGTCCGTCGATCTGTCTAGCTGTCCGTCCGTCTCAAAAACTTTATCCTTGCCCATAACTTTTGATTAAGTGGAGCTATGACTTCCATATTTCATATGTGTATTTCTTGTGAAAAGGCCTTTCTTTGGGTACCACCAAATTTGACCTTGACCTTGGAGTTTGACCCACTTATACACAAAAATTAGAAACTTTTACTTTGGTCATAACGTTTGAACAGAAGATACTAGGACTGTCATATTTAAAACATGTCCTCTTTGTGGTAAGACCTTTCATTGGATACAAACAATTTTGATCTTTTGACCTTGGAGATTTCTCTACTTATGAAAAAACTTTTACTTTTGGCCATAACTTTTGGCTAGTGCTTTCATATTTCACATATGTAATCTTTGTAAGAAAACCTTTCATTGGATACCAGGAATTTGACTTGAAGTTTGACTAATTTTTTAAAAACTTTAACCCTGGCCACAACTTTTACACGGTAGATACTTGGACTTTCATATTTCACACAAGTATTCTTTCTGGCAAGACCTTTCATTTGATACCAACAACTTTTACCTTTTGACCTTGACCTTGGAGATTTCCGTACTTATAAAAAAAACTTTAAGCCTGGGTATAACTTTTGAATGGTAAGGGCTAGGGCTTTCATACTTCAAATTTGTAACCTTTTTAGAAGACATTTCATTGGATACCAAGAACTTTGACCCATTGACCTTGAGCCTGGAGTTTAACCTATTTAAAAAAAATATTGACCATAACTTTTGAAGGGTTAGGGCTAAGGCTTTCATATTTCACATATTTAATCCTTGTGACAGGACCTTGCATTGGATATCAAGAATGACCTTGACCTTGGAGTTTGACCTACTTTTAAAAGTTTATCTTTGGCCATAACTTTTGAACAGGTGGTGGAAGGGATTTCGAATTTCACAATTGTATTTCTTGTGAGAAGACCCACTTTGGGTAATGATATACTTAATTTGCATTTAAGAAAAGTTTTGTCTTAGCTATATTGCCATATGGGGCCATCAATGTTTCACAAATACATCTTGTTCCTTATATTGAGAAGAGATAGGGTTTTCATATTTGACTTGTGCATTACTTGTGACAAGATATTTCCGAGCATGCTATGATTTCTGACCCCTTGACCTTCACGAATGATTTTTAAAAAAAATCAACTTCAGTGATAATTTCTAAATGACATATGATAGGGCGTTCATATTTGACACAATATGTCATAAAAATGACATCTCACCCACAAAAACACCGAAAGCGGGGGACCACAATTGTTTGAATTTGCTTGCTTTATTTATACTTTTTAATACTCAACTGATTTTTGCTTTTACCTAGCTTATTTGCTCCGGTGAGCAATGTGGCCCCTGGGCCTCTTGTTATTGTGAGGTAATGCAATACGGTACACTTCACTGGAATTGATAATTTATAAACACAATTTGTCACATCCATCAGTGCTAACAAATCCTTATGATCGGTTCCAATCTTATACAAGTGCACCACAACACAGCACAAAGAGGGCATCTAGGAATAGCTGAATGAATCAACCAACAACCCAAATCCAGGGGTTCCCTGCACCTTCCATCACCAGAGTCAAGAGTTTCAACAAACCCAGTGGCTATCTCTCTCTCTCTCTCTCTCTCTCTCTCTCTCTCTCTCTCTCTCTCTCTCTCTCTCTCTCTCTCTCTCTCTGGCCAGCTTATCCTCAACCCAGGAGCCAGTGGAAGTTTCCACTGGTCAGCATATCATCAACCCAGTCTCTGGGTTCCTATAACTAGAGGAAGTTTCCACTGGTCAGCATATCATCAAACCAGTCTCTGGGTTCCTATAACTAGAGGAAGTTTCCTCTGGTCAGCTTATCATCAATCCAGTCTCTGGGTTCCTATAACTAGAGGAAGTTTCCTCTGGTCAGCTTATCATCAATCCAGTCTCTGGGTTCCTATAACTAGAGGACAAACGTCGAACAGACCTTTGATTAGCAGTGGAGATATAATTCATGACAACCTCTTGTTTTGTGTTCCAGTTTGATTTTCCCTAGGGTAATTGTCATAGTGCCTTTTACATCTTTTTTTTACACTCTCCGCCACCCATACTCTTGGGTTGTTTCGGCCAATTCGGGGATGAGTTTACTTGTATTGATTCCGAATATTTGCCATTTATAATAAATGATTAGAATATGACATCGAAAAATATTTATGAAAATTAAAAGCAAACACGAAATATAAAAATTTGGTTGCATTAAATATTGTCATTAAGTAAGACTCGCGCTGCGCAGTGGCGCTGCCTTTGTCATTTTTTATCCAATGCGATACTGCAGCTAGTTCGTGACATGTAAACTTCCCATCGAAAAGATGGCTGACGCTCAAAAATATCAGAAGTTGGCCACGGAATATGCAAAGGTTTTTGTGTGTTTTCATATAAATAATGGCTATTTTTATTACATTCACATAACTTTTGAGTTAAGATAAAATTATTATTAGTCTCCAGCGTTTTTTGTTTATGATGTATCGTCACATTTGTTTATAATGTCAACTTAACGCCCCCTTTTCTAAAAGGTTTGAGACTGAGAAAAATGTTTCATTTTTGTTCTTTCACATAAAAGTCTCCAAAATCGTTGGACAACTTAACAAAATAAAGTTTTTGATTTAATCGTGTTATAGACAATGTGTTTTTAACTTTTACTTCTACTATTACTAACTTTTTGTACACAATGGAGATATACAATATTTAGGGGTTTACTTAAAATATCCCAAAGCTTCTTGTCATTTTGTTTTCATTACAGCTCAAAGCACAGATCCCTGTTCTCAAGAAGGCCTATATAGAAGAGCAAGCAGCTTGTAATGAACTAAAAGTATGTTTACTTCATAATTATATTAATATGTTGAAGATGCGACCATTAGGCATGTTTTAGGACGAGCACAATCACTTTAGTGACTTACTCAGTATTTATATAGATTGAGCTTGTCAAACCGCACATGACATTTAGGGCTTCGAGACACTGATGTCACCTGAATCCGAATTTTCTCTTTGCCCAGGCGGTGTTTTAATGAAGAGCTCGCTGATAAATGTCCGCATTGGATTTTTGCAAGTATCCAAGTTGATAATATTGCAACTAAAGGCAGATGGTCATTTATAAAAATCTATGCTTATAATGAAGTGCCAGAGACTGACGATTTTGCTTTGTTATTACTGTAATTCATTTATATCCAAGTAATTTACGTCATATTTTAAAGTCATGGGAAATGAAAATCACTTGCCTATAAGCATCAGTTCGTTAAGAGTGTGTTTGCTATAAGCATGATTTATCTCATTGTCTCAAGCCACGGTCCGGAGTTGGCATATAGCTCTCTCCTACCCGTGGCTGCATGATTGCATAAAATGCCATTATCTTGAATATTTACGCCTCTCTGTTGTAAAGACATATTCAGTCAATGACGTTTTGTTTCCGTCGCAATTGAAATCAACAATTTACATCAGCAGTATTTCGTACACTGCAATTGGGTATTGAAAGATTGCACCAAAGTCCATCATCTTACTATGCTTTACTAGCATTGGTCAATATTTTAATGAGCTACAAAGTATTAAATTCTCTTCTCATGCAACCACGGCCAGAATGGGAGAGAATCGTACATTTTTGCTGTGGTTTGCGACGAGCATGCAGCTTTTTTTCTGTACTTGCGTAAAAAATGATTCAAAATTCTTGTTTTACTTTTCAATAAATGTTATTTATAAAATCAACAATGAGCTAACTTATTAGTGGCACATTATTTTCCAAGCTTGCTTTCTTTATTTATAGTTTATTTTGAAAACAGGAAGTCTTATTTACCTTTTGAATTGAAAAAAGCTAATTGTATTGAGTTAAAAAAAATGGAAGTTAATACTGTCATGATATAAAATTCTTATTTTATAATTCAGCTTGTATACCTACATGAAAATTGGGTTACTGTCTTTTCACCCCAAAACCAGAATGCCCCATGCATGAGTGCTACAAAGATTTTTACCGGCGCCAAAGTACAAATACGAGCGCCCCAAATATAAATTATAAACACCCCAAACATATTACACGAGCACCCCAAAATTAGCATTTTTATAAAATTATATTTTTAACATGCTTTAATATGCTTTACCAGGAAAAACTCAAAGAATGTGAGCAGTCTGTCCGTAAATATGAACAGGAAGTGGACAGCTTGACCTTCCGAAATCAGCAGTTGTCAACCAGAGTCCTCATTCTGCAGGAAGAACTCGACGAAGCGGAAGCCAGCAAAAAGAAGCATAAAGTTTGATATTATGATAAAAACTTTTATTATATATATACATGTAAAGTAGATAATTTATGGATATGTAGTGTAGAGAGAAGTTTTTTTTTTCAAATACTGCACATTCTAGATAAGTAGGTGTTCCCTGTAAATAAGGCAAGTTTATGCATAATTCTGTTCTTAAAATGACTCATGAACTTTTGATACCTTGTGTCAGATTCAAATTGAAAAAAATGTGTAGAAAAAGTAAATTATTAGTATATTAATGTCTTATTTCAGCATAAACATGATACAAGTGCGGTGAATCTACCATCTCCTTCTTCAGTCTACAATGAAGAACTCATGAACAAGATACAGGAGAACGAGAGACTACATAAACAGGTCAATATAAATCTTACTCCTAAATGTCTGCTTTTATTTACTTACGGCCATAATAAAAATATTCCTAGATTCTCATCCCCGCCCGCCCCCGATTTTATACCCCCGCCTTGATTTTTTTTATTTATGTTTATCTTCGTCTTAATTCTGATCGGGATCGGTATTCATCTACCATTCTACTTTCGTTTTAAATCCCGCGAAAATCGACCTGATTTTGACAGCTGAAAAGATGGTAATTGCTGTAATACATGCGTTTATATTTTAAACAAGGGTCATTGGTTGAAAAAGATTGGTGATGATGTGAAGTAAGAGATAATTGAACGTTTACTATGACTTTTATTCGGGTATTGTAGACAAAATTTCACCGATTGACCAGGTCAATAAAACATCTGCAAAATTGAGAAAATAAAAAATATAAAATAAAAGCTGCCCGCCCGCCTCGATTTTAAAAAAAATTCGGATGAGAATCTAGCAATTTATTTATTATGGCCTAAGGTCAAGATCTAGTAAATAACTTCAGACTAATTTTTTGGTGCTAAATCCATTATGACAGCATAATCAATTTCAACTTTCCTTTTCCCGTACTTTACGGCTTTAGCAGAATTATGTAGGAAATATGGTATTTTCATGACATTCAATTTGAAATCATATGATAAGTGAACTGGATACCTATATTAAATTTGATATTGATTTAAAGAAGAGGCCATGAACATACTAATTACCATTTTCTGAGAGACTGTAGGCAATCTGGATACATTTCCTTTGTCGAATATGAAAAAACTCCCATATTCATGACCAGTTTTCTTAATTTTTCATTGAAAATGACAGTTAAAAATACAGTTTTTCACTTTGTTTACCTACAAATTATGCCCCAAAACACCTTATTTGACCAAGCTAAAGTTGTAAAGCATCAATAAAGGAAATTATTTCTCAAGTTTGATAAATCTGTAGGTACCTTTCATTTGCTAGATCTTGACCTTAAGCATTTTAAATTCAACAATTATATCACCAAGTTACACTTGATGGGCTTTATTCCTACCAATTTTCTTATATCATATATTTTACTTCATTTTTTTTCACTGAAATCAAACTGACAAAGAACATGCATAAAGGTTTGATTGATACAAGCGGTAATTTTTTCCTGTGTTCAGAAGTGCTCTGGTACAGCTGGGTTTGGAATTGATTCAATATTTTGTCTGAGCAGATGGTACAGATAGCTTTGAAGTTGAATCAGTATTTTGTTTAAGCAGGTGATACAGCTAAGTTTGAAGTTGATTCAGTATTTTGTCTGAGCAGGTGGTACAGCTAGGTTTGGAGTTGTTAAGCAGGTGGTTCAACTAGGTTTGGAGTTGTTGAGCAGGTGATCAACTAGGTTTGGAGTTGATTCAGTATTTTGTCTGAGCATGTGGTACAACTAGCTTTGGAGTGGATTCAGTATTTCGTTGGGTTTGGAAATGATTTGGTATTTTGTCTGAGCAGATGGTACAGCTAGGTTTGGAGTTGTTGAGCAGGAGGGACAGCTAGGTTTGGAGTTGATTCAGTATTTTTTCTGGGCATGTGGTACAGCTAGGTTTGGAGCTGTTGAGCATGTGGTACAACTAGGTTTGGAGCTGTTGAGCAGGTGGTACAGCTAGGTTTGGAGTTGTTTGAGCAGGAGATACAACTAGGTTTGAGTTGTTGAGCAGATAGTACAGTTAGGTTTGAAGTTGTTTGAGCAGGTGATACAGCTAGGTTTGGAGTTGTTGAGCAGGTGGTACAGCTAGGTTTGGAGTTGATTCAGTATTTTGTCTGAGCATGTGGTACAACTAGCTTTGGAGTTGATTCAGTATTTTGTTGGGTTTGGAGATGATTTGGTATTTTGTCTGAGCAGGAGGGACAGCTAGGTTTGGAATTGATTCAGAATTTTGTCTGAGCATGTGGTACAACTAGCTTTGGAGTTGATTCAGTATTTTGTTGGGATTGGGGTTGATTTGGTATTTTGTCTGAGCAGGTGGTATTGCTAGGTTTGAAGTTGATTCAGTATTTTGTCTGAGCAGGTCTGGTGGTACAGCTAGGTTTGGAGTTGATTCAGTATTTTATTTGAGCAGGTGGTACAGCTAGGTTTGGAGCTGTTGGAGCAGGTGGTACAACTAGGTTTGGAGTTGTTGAGCAGGTGGTACAACTAGGTTTGGAGTTGTTGAGCAGGTGGTACAACTAGGTTTGGAGTTGATTCAGTATTTTGTCGGAGCAGGTGATACAGCTAGGTTTGGAGTCGATTCAGAAGTTGTCTGAGCAGGTGATACAACTAGGTTTGGAGTTGATTTGGTAATTTATTTGAGCAGGTGGTACAGCTAGATTTGGAGTTGATTCAGTATTTTGTTGGGTTTGGAGTTGATTCAGTATTTTGTTGGGTATGGAGTTGATTCAGTATTTTGTTTGAGCAGGTGGCCGAGAGTAACCAGAAATACCAGAGTAGAGTGGAGGAGCTAGAGAGATCAGTGGAGGACTACAAGAGAAAATTTAGTCAACACCAAGAAGTATTAGACACCACAGTACAGAAGGATAAATCCCAGATAGACAAGTTACAGGAGGAAAAAGCCATGCTGGAGGTAATACATTGGGGGATCAAACAGGGGTGGTTTAAGTGGAAAAATACAAAATTAGAATTTACAGAAAGAATAGGATAAGAAGCTATAAACTTAAAGCAAATTAAGCTATAGCCACTGTTTTTTTTTCTGTTTGTTCACTTAAACATGCAATGTTATGGCATAATAAGAAAAATCCATTCTGACATTTTTAGTTTTTAGCTCTACTGGTCAGAGACCAGAGGAGCTTATGTAATAGTAATAGTAGTTATGATAGTAATGCGTCCGTCGTTTGTCTGTCTGTCCGTCTGTAAACAATTTTTCAAAATGCTACTCCTCCTACAGTTTTGGTTTGATTTCAGTATAACTTGGCACACAAGTAGACTACACTAAGATACATAATTCTATGTATCGGTTTTTTATTTCGATGACCGGTGTTGCCGTTGTTACTAAAAATAGAAATTTTTGTGAAAAATCATTCAAAATGCTACTCCTCCTACAGTTTTGGTTTGATTTCAGTATAACTTGGCACACAAGTAGACTACACTAAGATACATAATTCTATGTATCGGTTTTTGATTTCGATGAACGGTGTTGCCGTTGTTACTAAAAATAGAAATTTTTGTGAAAATCATTCAAAATGCTACTCCTCCTACAGTTTTGGTCTGATTTCAATATAACTTGGCACACAAGTAGATCACACTAAGATACATAATTCCATTTATTGGTTTTTGATTTTGATAAACAGGTGTTGCCGTTGTTACTAAAAATTGAATTTTTTGTGAAAATCATTCAAAATGCTACTCCTCCTACAGTTTTGGTCTGATTTCAGTATAACTTGGCACACAAGTAGACTACACTAAGATACATAATTCTGTATATCAGTTTTTGATTTCGATAAACGGGTGTTGCCGTTGTTACTAAAAATAGAAAAATTTGTGAAAATCATTCAAAATGCTACTCCTCCTATAGTTATAATCTGATTTCAATATAACTTGGCACACAAGTAGACTACACAAAGATACATAATTCTGTTTATCGGTTTTTGATTTTGATGAACGGTGTTGCTGTTGTTACTAAAAATAGAAAAAAATTTGAAAATCATTCAAAATGCTACTCCTCCTAAAGTTTTAATCTGATTTCAGTATAACTTGGCACACAAGTAGACTACACAAAGATACCTAATTCTCTTTAGAGGTTTTTGATTTCAATGAACAGGTGTTGCCATTGTCACTAAAAATAGAATTTAAAAAAAAATACTTTCAAAATGCTACTCCTCCTACAGTTTTGGTCTTATTTCAATATAACTTGGCACACAAGTAGACTACATTAAGATACATAATTCTATTTATCGGTTTTTGATTTTGATAAACAGGTGTTGTCGTTGTTACTAGAAATAGAAATTTCTGTGAAAATCATTCAAAATGCTACTCCTCCTACAGTTTTGGTCTGATTTCAATATAATTTTGCTCACAAGTAGACTACACTAAGATACATAATTCTGTTTATCAGTTTTTGTCATTATTCTATTTATTGCTTTTGTAAAGTTTTATATCCCAACTGCTACTTTTCTCTTTCTTTATTATAAGTACAAACCAGTAGAGTTTCAGTCTTGACAGAGACTTCTGGTTTTATGTGTATTTTAACTAAGTTTTTGAGAATTGATTTTTTGTTTTATGCAGGTCAAATGTCAGAAACTGGAGAAAGATATCAAAACCTGCAGGTCACGGACCGACCTAGCGTAAGAATTTTAACCTTTGAATTTAAGGCAAAGATGGTTCTAGTTATAACAAATTCTACAAATAAGACATGGGGCATTTGTTAGTCATGCAGCAGTATTGCTTTCTATAGGAACAGACCAAATCTACATAAAATTAAGATGAAGAGGGAGTAAGTCTGATCTGCAGTGTACATTTATTTGTAGGGAGAACCAGTTGAAGACAGTACAGTTCCATTTACAGAGACAATTAGAGCAGGCCAACAAAATCATTGCAGACAAGCTGCCTTTCATTGATACAAGTAGGCTAGACTTTTATTTCATTAAATGGGCCTGGGCAAGAGTGTATTACCATTTTCATTTACAATTACAAATATTTATATTTATTCAAAAAAAATAAATGGATTTAATGAATTGGCTCTGCTAATATATGCAAATAAAACATGTCAATATAAGTTTCACAATTATAATACATGTATCTTGAATCTGGGGTCAATATATCAAAACCATTTTGAACACATTGGGTTCTGAATCATTGTTTTATGGGAGGGGAGTTGGGGGGGGGGGGTCAATATATCACGGTATCAAAATATTATGCTACACCGTTTCCAAACATGCAATAATGAACATTGATTCAATATTTTGTGGTATCAAAATATAATGCTACACCAGTAGCATAATAAAATTTGGTGTCTTCTAGCTATTCCCACTTTTTAAAAATCTCAATTCCACCTATTCCCACTTGCAAATAACAATAGATGTTTAGATTTATCTGTATTTTGTACATTCTAAGACAGAAAATAATGAATACATCTATGAGAAAATATGATTTATTTCGGATTTTTGAAATAATAAAAAGATCTTACAAGAAAAAGCAACTTAATACCTAAATTCAAGAACAAAGTTAATTTTTTGTTTACACAAAATTCCACCTATTCCCACATAAAATCTTACCTTTTTCTACATGATTTTCAAAAAGTGGGAATAGGTAGAATGAACCGAAAATTTGAGATATACAGATACCAGTTGCTGATCCATAATACTTTCCTTTAAAAAACAGCAAACTTTCCACTTCCCTAAAATATAAAGCATAATTTTTCTTTGTAAAAGTGCAAGAATGTGTGCTTATCAAACACATTCAAAATTCATAGTTTTTTTGGTTATAATTTTCAGGTATAAAAAAAAGTTTTGAATCACTTTGAATTTAAATTTTAAAAGTATAATTTTTTTTTACCAACATGTAATTCATCATATACTGAACATTTAATAATATGTTAAGATTAAGTCATAGTGATTTATTTCCATCTGTATGTTGCATGAATCTCATAGAAAAATACATTTAAGCGGTTGAGTTACTTTCTCTAAATTATGATTGTATTACATTCAAAGTTACATGTATATCACTGAGTATAAAATTATGTAATTCTCCAGAAAACAGAGATCTGAATGGTTTGAATTTGCCAACACATGACAGGCGGCACCAGTTACAAGCTCGGGAACTAGTCAGCCAGGCGACCAATCACATGACAGAGCTTATACAGGCTTTGTCCAACTTCTACACATACTCAGAGCAGCGGTCTAAAATTTACCCTGCTGACGGAACGCACGAACCCTACAGTCCAATCAATGTACAGGTGAGGAGGAAAACATGGCTCATAAATCAAAGGGGGTAACTCAATCATCAGTATAGTCCCAAAAACAGATATCTTATTGAACATATTGAAGGAACAAGTGATTTATCACTTTCTTCTACACTTTTCTCTACTGTGTATTTTGTCTTATATTCTTAAATTTAGTTCGAGACATAAATCTCAGTAATAAAATGCTAAATTATTTAAAGTGCTTTCCAAGTAATGACAAGTAGACCCTTTTACAAAAAAATTTCAAATTTCCATCATAAGAGAAATCTTCATTTTCTCAAATTTCTTAGGAGATTGCTTTGTGTAAACTTTTAACCCTCTTATAAGCATTTATAACATTTGTCAAAAAAGATGCTTAAGTTAAAATCTTGAGCAAAAACTAATGATTTTCCATGAAAAGGTCTAGATTTATATTTTGACAGTTCCCACCAGTACTTGCTGCCACTAACAATTTCCCTATTTTAACTTTTCTGTGAGTGTAATTAAGTGATAAATCTTTATTTTTCCAATGTCCACCAGTACTGTAAATATCTCCACGAAAACCTGACCTACCTCCGACCTGTAGAGCAGTCATTGAAGCATTTCCTGTCCACACTGAATGAGGACTCCCTGACCACTCTGGTAATTGTTCTACATTAATCAGTCCAAAGTGACCATCATGTCCAACATTTTCTCAGATGATTTGATATGGCTGAACTACATGTATGCATGCTCTTCATTTCAGGAAACAGCAACAGAATTGCAGCCTTTTGCTGTTAATTTTAAGAAAATGGTAGCCTACATGAATAAGTTATTACCATATCAACTGAGAAGGTAGGCTTTTGAATTATCTACAAAATTACTGGTAAACTGACTCTCGTTAGTTGAACTGTAATCTCTGTTCTCTGTCTCAAGAATAAAAGTTGAGTCACTTTTTTCTGTCTCATACCAAGACCAGGATCTTGTATCACACATTTCATTGCTCTATACTCTGAATCTCTCTAAGTGTTGATGGTATATTCATGCCATTAGTAATTTTCTGTTGACAGTACATGTATAGAGGGGCATGATTTAGTTTTACATTAACATGTATTTTCTGTGATTTAGTTTTCTTTCTATTGATTCTGTTTAGATTGACTGTGAATATTTGTTGTTGTTGACAGTATTGAGGAGGGATGTGATTTAATTTTTCTGTTGACGCTGTATAGATTGACTGTGATTGAGTTATTTTCTGTTTACTGTTATTTCTGTGTACAGTATTGAGGAGGGGTGTGATTTAATTTTTCTATTGACGCTGTATAGATTGACTGTGATTGAGTTATTTTCTGTTTACTGTTATTTCTGTGTACAGTATTGAGGAGGGATGTGATTTAATTTTTCTGTTGACGCTGTATAGATTGACTGTGATTGAGTTATTTTCTGTTTACTGTTATTTCTGTATACAGTATTGAGGAGGAGTGTGATTTAATTTTTCTATTGACGCTGTATAGATTGACTGTGATTGAGTTATTTTCTGTTTACTGTTATTTCTGTGTACAGTATTGAGGAGGGATGTGATTTAATTTTTCTATTGACGCTGTATAGATTGACTGTGATTGAGTTATTTTCTGTTTACTGTTATTTCTGTGTACAGTATTGAGGAGGGATGTGATTTAATTTTTCTATTGACGCTATGATTGACTGTGATTGAGTTATTTTCTGTTTACTGTTATTTCTGTATACAGTATTGAGGAGGGGTGTGATTTAATTTTTCTATTGACGCTATGATTGACTGTGATTGAGTTATTTTCTGTTTACTGTTATTTCTGTATACAGTATAGAGGAGGGATGTGATTTAATTTTTCTATTGACGCTGTATAGATTGACTGTGATTGAGTTATTTTCTGTTTACTGTTATTTCTGTGTACAGTATTGAGGAGGGGTGTGATTTAATTTTTCTATTGACGCTGTATAGATTGACTGTGATTGAGTTATTTTCTGTTTACTGTTATTTCTGTGTACAGTATTGAGGAGGGATGTGATTTAATTTTTCTGTTGACGCTGTATAGATTGACTGTGATTGAGTTATTTTCTGTTTACTGTTATTTCTGTGTACAGTATTGAGGAGGGATGTGATTTAATTTTTCTATTGACGCTGTATAGATTGACTGTGACTGAGTTATTTTCTGTTTACTGTTATTTCTGTGTACAGTATTGAGGAGGGGTGTGATTTAATTTTTCTGTTGACGCTGTACAGATTGACTGTGATTGAGTTATTTTCTGTTTACTGTTATTTCTGTGTACAGTATTGAGGAGGGATGTGATTTAATTTTTCTGTTGACGCTGTATAGATTGACTGTGATTGAGTTATTTTCTGTTTACTGTTATTTCTGTGTACAGTATTGAGGAGGGATGTGATTTAATTTTTCTATTGACGCTGTATAGATTGACTGTGATTGAGTTATTTTCTGTTTACTGTTATTTCTGTGTACAGTATTGAGGAGGGGTGTGATTTAATTTTTCTGTTGACGCTGTACAGATTGACTGTGATTGAGTTATTTTCTGTTTACTGTTATTTCTGTGTACAGTATAGAGGAGGGGTGTGATTTAATTTTTCTATTGACGCTATGATTGACTGTGATTGAGTTATTTTCTGTTTACTGTTATTTCTGTGTACAGTATTGAGGAGGGATGTGATTTAATTTTTCTATTGACGCTGTATAGATTGACTGTGATTGAGTTATTTTCTGTTTACTGTTATTTCTGTGTACAGTATTGAGGAGGGATGTGATTTAATTTTTCTATTGACGCTGTATAGATTGACTGTGATTGAGTTATTTTCTGTTTACTGTTATTTCTGTGTACAGTATTGAGGAGGGATGTGATTTAATTTTTCTATTGACGCTGTACAGATTGACTGTGATTGAGTTATTTTCTGTTTACTGTTATTTCTGTGTACAGTATAGAGGAGGGATGTGATTTAATTTTTTTATTGACGCTGTATAGATTGACTGTGATTGAGTTATTTTCTGTTTACTGTTATTTCTGTGTACAGTATTGAGGAGGGATGTGATTTAATTTTTTTATTGACGCTGTATAGATTGACTGTGATTGAGTTATTTTCTGTTTACTGTTATTTCTGTGTACAGTATTGAGGAGGGATGTGATTTAATTTTTCTATTGACGCTATGATTGACTGTGATTGAGTTATTTTCTGTTTACTGTTATTTCTGTGTACAGTATTGAGGAAGGATGTGATTTAATTTTTCTGTTGACGCTGTATAGATTGACTGTGATTGAGTTATTTTCTGTTTACTGTTATTTCTGTGTACAGTATTGAGGAGGGATGTGATTTAATTTTTCTATTGACGCTGTATAGATTGACTGTGATTGAGTTATTTTCTGTTTACTGTTATTTCTGTGTACAGTATTGAGGAGGGATGTGATTTAATTTTTCTGTTGACGCTGTATAGATTGACTGTGATTGAGTTATTTTCTGTTTACTGTTATTTCTGTATACAGTATTGAGGAGGAGTGTGATTTAATTTTTCTATTGACGCTGTATAGATTGACTGTGATTGAGTTATTTTCTGTTTACTGTTATTTCTGTGTACAGTATTGAGGAGGGATGTGATTTAATTTTTCTATTGACGCTGTATAGATTGACTGTGATTGAGTTATTTTCTGTTTACTGTTATTTCTGTGTACAGTATTGAGGAGGGATGTGATTTAATTTTTCTATTGACGCTATGATTGACTGTGATTGAGTTATTTTCTGTTTACTGTTATTTCTGTATACAGTATTGAGGAGGGGTGTGATTTAATTTTTCTATTGACGCTATGATTGACTGTGATTGAGTTATTTTCTGTTTACTGTTATTTCTGTATACAGTATAGAGGAGGGATGTGATTTAATTTTTCTATTGACGCTGTATAGATTGACTGTGATTGAGTTATTTTCTGTTTACTGTTATTTCTGTGTACAGTATTGAGGAGGGGTGTGATTTAATTTTTCTATTGACGCTGTATAGATTGACTGTGATTGAGTTATTTTCTGTTTACTGTTATTTCTGTGTACAGTATTGAGGAGGGATGTGATTTAATTTTTCTGTTGACGCTGTATAGATTGACTGTGATTGAGTTATTTTCTGTTTACTGTTATTTCTGTGTACAGTATTGAGGAGGGATGTGATTTAATTTTTCTATTGACGCTGTATAGATTGACTGTGATTGAGTTATTTTCTGTTTACTGTTATTTCTGTGTACAGTATTGAGGAGGGGTGTGATTTAATTTTTCTATTGACGCTGTACAGATTGACTGTGATTGAGTTATTTTCTGTTTACTGTTATTTCTGTGTACAGTATAGAGGAGGGGTGTGATTTAATTTTTCTATTGACGCTGTACAGATTGACTGTGATTGAGTTATTTTCTGTTTACTGTTATTTCTGTGTACAGTATAGAGGAGGGATGTGATTTAATTTTTCTATTGACGCTGTACAGATTGACTGTGATTGAGTTATTTTCTGTTTACTGTTATTTCTGTGTACAGTATAGAGGAGGGGTGTGATTTAATTTTTCTATTGACGCTGTATAGATTGACTGTGATTGAGTTATTTTCTGTTTACTGTTATTTCTGTGTACAGTATAGAGGAGGGGTGTGATTTAATTTTTCTATTGACGCTGTACAGATTGACTGTGATTGAGTTATTTTCTGTTTACTGTTATTTCTGTGTACAGTATTGAGGAGGGGTGTGATTTAATTTTTCTATTGACGCTGTATAGATTGACTGTGATTGAGTTATTTTCTGTTTACTGTTATTTCTGTATACAGTATTGAGGAGGTGTGTGATTTAATTTTTCTATTGACGCTGTATAGATTGACTGTGATTGAGTTATTTTCTGTTTACTGTTATTTCTGTATACAGTATTGAGGAGGGGTGTGATTTAGTTTTTCTATTGACGCTGTATAGATTGACTGTGATTGAGTTATTTTCTGTTTACTGTTATTTCTGTGTACAGTATTGAGGAAGGATGTGATTTAATTTTTCTATTGACGCTGTACAGATTGACTGTGATTGAGTTATTTTCTGTTTACTGTTATTTCTGTGTACAGTATAGAGGAGGGGTGTGATTTAATTTTTCTATTGACGCTGTATAGATTGACTGTGATTGAGTTATTTTCTGTTTACTGTTATTTCTGTGTACAGTATTGAGGAGGGGTGTGATTTAATTTTTCTATTGACGCTGTATAGATTGACTGTGATTGAGTTATTTTCTGTTTACTGTTATTTCTGTGTACAGTATAGAGGAGGGGTGTGATTTAATTTTTCTATTGACGCTATGATTGACTGTGATTGAGTTATTTTCTGTTTACTGTTATTTCTGTGTACAGTATTGAGGAGGGATGTGATTTAATTTTTCTATTGACGCTGTATAGATTGACTGTGATTGAGTTATTTTCTGTTTACTGTTATTTCTGTGTACAGTATTGAGGAGGGATGTGATTTAATTTTTCTATTGACGCTGTATAGATTGACTGTGATTGAGTTATTTTCTGTTTACTGTTATTTCTGTGTACAGTATTGAGGAGGGATGTGATTTAATTTTTCTATTGACGCTGTACAGATTGACTGTGATTGAGTTATTTTCTGTTTACTGTTATTTCTGTGTACAGTATTGAGGAGGGATGTGATTTAATTTTTTTATTGACGCTGTATAGATTGACTGTGATTGAGTTATTTTCTGTTTACTGTTATTTCTGTGTACAGTATTGAGGAGGGATGTGATTTAATTTTTTTATTGACGCTGTATAGATTGACTGTGATTGAGTTATTTTCTGTTTACTGTTATTTCTGTGTACAGTATTGAGGAGGGGTGTGATTTAATTTTTCTATTGACGCTGTATAGATTGACTGTGATTGAGTTATTTTCTGTTTACTGTTATTTCTGTGTACAGTATTGAGGAGGGATGTGATTTAATTTTTCTATTGACGCTGTATAGATTGACTGTGATTGAGTTATTTTCTGTTTACTGTTATTTCTGTATACAGTATTGAGGAGGGATGTCATTTAATTTTTTTATTGACGCTGTACAGATTGACTGTGATTGAGTTATTTTCTGTTTACTGTTATTTCTGTGTACAGTATTGAGGAGGGGTGTGATTTAATTTTTCTATTGACGCTGTATAGATTGACTGTGATTGAGTTATTTTCTGTTTACTGTTATTTCTGTGTACAGTATTGAGGAGGGATGTGATTTAATTTTTCTATTGACGCTGTATAGATTGACTGTGATTGAGTTATTTTCTGTTTACTGTTATTTCTGTGTACAGTATTGAGGAGGGGTGTGATTTAATTTTTCTATTGACGCTGTATAGATTGACTGTGATTGAGTTATTTTCTGTTTACTGTTATTTCTGTATACAGTATAGAGGAGGGATGTGATTTAATTTTTCTATTGACGCTGTATAGATTGACTGTGATTGAGTTATTTTCTGTTTACTGTTATTTCTGTGTACAGTATAGAGGAGGGATGTGATTTAATTTTTCTATTGACGCTGTATAGATTGACTGTGATTGAGTTATTTTCTGTTTACTGTTATTTCTGTGTACAGTATAGAGGAGGGGTGTGATTTAATTTTTCTATTGACGCTGTACAGATTGACTGTGATTGAGTTATTTTCTGTTTACTGTTATTTCTGTGTACAGTATTGAGGAGGGGTGTGATTTAATTTTTCTATTGACGCTGTACAGATTGACTGTGATTGAGTTATTTTCTGTTTACTGTTATTTCTGTGTACAGTATTGAGGAGGGGTGTGATTTAATTTTTCTATTGACGCTGTATAGATTGACTGTGATTGAGTTATTTTCTGTTTACTGTTATTTCTGTGTACAGTATTGAGGAGGGATGTGATTTAATTTTTCTGTTGACGCTGTACAGATTGACTGTGATTGAGTTATTTTCTGTTTACTGTTATTTCTGTGTACAGTATTGAGGAGGGATGTCATTTAATTTTTCTATTGACGCTGTATAGATTGACTGTGATTGAGTTATTTTCTGTTTACTGTTATTTCTGTGTACAGTATTGAGGAGGAGTGTGCTGTGTCTTCCTGTACCTCTTCTCTGGAATCCAAGAACATGGAACTCCACGCCTCCCTGAAGCACCTTACTGCTGTCTTTAACAAGCTTGATACTTATGTAGAACTCCTGGCAGCCCAGAGTAAGACAGTTCTAAAATCTACTCACTAGTTATGACACTGTTATTGATATTATTTATATGTCAAATAGCAAGATGGTTTTTTTTTTTATCTTTGCCTGTAAAATTGTAGGCAGTAAATCCTGTTGTCACCCACAGAAAAACCACGCCCACTTTTTCTCCCACCTTTGTCAAGCCTTAAAAGACCTGAACAATTCTGTTAGAGGTAATGTATCATATAGTTTGTTTGGTATATTTAAGTAAACTAATGTATTTATTTCTCAATTAAACTGTTAAAAAATAATTACTGGTACTATGATTTGTTGTTGTAAATTTTATAAATAATCTTTTTTTTTTCAGAGGTATCCAAACACTATAATTCCAAAGTTTCTTTGGAGCACCAACTTCCTACAGCTACACAGAAACTGAAAACCACAGACGAGTGTGTCGTATCTTCACTGATTTCACTAGTCACCTGTACAGGGAAGGTATATTAAAAAATTAAAACTCATCATCCTATTCTATTTATTCAAAAATTAAATTTTATTCTTAGTAAGAGAGAAAGAATTTTTTAAATAAAGTTTTTAATGTCTCTATATGTAATATTAATGTTTTATATTAAATTCTTTTAAAAAAATGACCCTGATTACCAGGGTATTGCTTTTCCTTTTTAATAATCAAAGTAGATTTGTGAAGTTGTTGTTTTTGGTCAGTTTTCAGCTTTTCTGTCTGGGAACCTTGAGTTTTTTGGTCAGTCAGCTGGTTATAGAACCCGAGGGAGTAGTATAGGTACAGAGGTCCCAGCCGAGGGTCCGCGTTCAAATCCCGCCATAGTCTGCTACCGACAGAAGGCTGCCGGTTATCTGGGCTCCCTGGCAGGGCCAGTGCCGGACTCTGTTCCCCACAAAGTGGCCGTACAGAACAGACAGACATTACTGAGTTCTGCTGAGAGCAAGGAAGGGTTGTCCAAACAGGTACAGCACAAGTCTGTATATGATGGTGGATCATATCTAGTTCTTTGTGTGTCAAGTTATACAAGAAGATGTCTTTTTTTAGGTCTTGTAGAATGTCAAAATTTCAATAACATTTTACTAAAATAAGCTTACACAGTGTATCTACAGTTTTAATTTTTTTTGTTCTGACTGAAGTGAATATCTGATGCTTATATCTTTTATTTGTACTTTTGAACAAATTCTTTTCCAGTTGGTCACATCCCAGCAGCGTGTGGGAAAACTAGAACAGGAAAAAGAGCACTGGATGTTAGAACTACAACTTCTGCAGATCAAATACGACAATGAAATTCAGGTATAAAATACAACAACATTCAGGTTTAAAATATAAGTTCAGGTATAAAGTATGACAAGTATATGCAGATATGAAATACAACAATAAAGAGGATATATAAAATACAACAAAATCAGGTAAAAGAAATTGAAAATACAATTCAGGTTTAAGACATGACAGTGATATTTCAGGTATAAGATAATGTTAATGAGGTACTTGTAAAATTTTAAAACTAATACGAAAGAAAAGTAAATCAATTTGTGGCCAATTTAGATAAAGATGTAGATGTATGAATTTGAACTGTCAGAGTCTGGATGACAAAGATGTGTTGGAGAAGAACACAGAAAGAAGACAAATAAACTTTAAATAATCATCTAAGTAATTTTGTCTAGCAAAGAATGATTTTCTTAAAAATAGTTACATTTGAAAATGATCAGTACATATAGTGTTTAGTTTTTAGCATGCAAAATGTGAAAAATGAATTTGATTTTTTTTCTTTCTCTGTTTATAGAAGGTAAAGAAATTGGAGAAGGAGGTCTCATTAAGACAGAGTGCCCCCCGGGACTCTATAGAGGACAATATCAGTATAACCCCCAAAGACAGAACGGCCTCATCTAACAGTGGCAAGTTACTCATCACCAGTGCTCTGGTAAGTTTAGTTATTGTCATTGGGACACTTTACTGGCTTTTAAAAAGATATTACAAATTAATGTATATTTCCTATACTTCAAATCTAATAAAAAAAATTTGAAATGTAATTCCTGAAAATGTTGTAGGTACTTTGATTTGCATGACAAGTAAAAAAAAAAATACAGCTCTTTTGTTTGTTTTTTTTTTGTTAGCTCTACTGTTCAGAGACCAGAAGAGCTTATGCGATAGTAATGCGTCCGGCGTCCGTCCGTCTGTCTGTCTGTCTGTCTGTCTGTCCGTCTGTCTGTAAACAATTTTTCAAAACGCTACTCCTCCTACAATTTTAGTCTGATTTCAATATAACTTGGCACACAAGTAGACTACACTAAGATACAAAGAATAGTGCATCGGTTTTTGATTTCGATGAACGGTGTTGCCATGGTTACTAAAAATAGAATTTTCTGTGAAATTCCTTAAAAACACTACTCCTTCTACAGCTTTGGTCTGATTTCAATATAACTTGGCACACAAGTAGACTACACTAAGATACATAGAATAGTGCATCGGTTTTTAATTTCGATGAACGGTGTTGCCATGGTTACTAAAAATAGAATTTTCTGTGAAATTCCTTAAAAACGCTACTCCTTCTACAGTTTTGGTCTGATTTCAATATAACTTGGCACACAAGTAGACTACACTAAGATACATAGAATAGTGCATTGGTTTTTAATTTCGATGAACGGGTGTTGCCATGGTTACTAAAAATAGAATTTTCTGTGAAATTCCTTTAAAACGCTACTCCTTCTGCAGTTTTGGTCTGATTTCAATATAACTTGGCACACAAGTAGACTACACTAAGATACATAGAATAGTGCATCGGTTTTTAATTTCGATGAACGGTGTTGCCATGGTTACTAAAAATAGAATTTTCTGTGAAATTCCTTAAAAACGCTACTCCTTCTACAGTTTTGGTCTGATTTCAATATAACTTGGCACACAAGTAGACTACACTAAGATACATAGAATAATGCATCGGTTTTTAATTTCGATGAACGGTGTTGCCATGGTTACTAAAAATAGAATTTTCTGTGAAATTCCTTTAAAACGCTACTCCTTCTACAGTTTTGGTCTGATTTCAATATGACTTGGCACACAAGTAGACTACACTAAGATACATAGAATAGTGCAATGGTTTTTGATTTCGATGAACGGTGTTGCCATGGTTACTAAAAATAGAATTTTCTGTGAAATTCCTTAAAAACGCTACTCCTTCTACAGTTTTGGTCTGATTTCAATATAACTTGGCACACAAGTAGACTACACTAAGATACATAGAATAGTGCATCGGTTTTTAATTTCGATGAACTGTGTTGCCATGGTTACTAAAAATAGAATTTTCTGTGAAATTCCTTTAAAACGCTACTCCTTCTACAGTTTTGGTCTGATTTCAATATGACTTGGCACACAAGTAGACTACACTAAGATACATAGAATAGTGCAATGGTTTTTGATAAGTACAAACCAGTAGAGCTACAGTCTCGACAGAGACTTCTGGTTTTGAAAGCTAGGACAATTGGACCAAGTGACTGGTGGGGCTAGTGATAGTGAAACCAGAGAAATCTTGATAAAAAATCACTTCACCAAACGGATCAATGAGATGATGTTACAACACCAGCAGTTAGACAGCAAGTGTGTCTCATTCCACTCAGAGGTAGGTACAGCATAGATAGCAAGTGTGTATCATTTCACTCAGAGGTAGGTACAGCATAGACAGCGAGTGTGTCTCATTCCACTCAGAGGTAGGTACAGCATAGACAAATAGTGTGTGTCATTCCACTCAGAGGTAGGTACAGCATGGACAGCAAGTGTGTCTCATTCCACTCAGAGGTACATGTAAGTATGTGTATGTATATGAGTGATTTTTATAATGCTTAAACAGAAGGTAAGTGTGTGATAGTGCCATAGCATCATTAGGGTGCCTTAGATGTTTGTAGCAGCAGTATGATTGTATCTTTGTAAAATATTTTTCCCATGGATTGGATTGTTGAGGATGTATGAAAAGGTGGGATACAGAATTTAGTCTGAAACCTACAGCACTGTTCCAGTCATTAGTTTGAAACTGATTTTATTCCAGGTCAGGGCATTACACAAGCAGCTTCAGATAGCAAACAAGGTGAAAACTCTCGCTGAAGAAGAACTGAAGTCTACATCACAGAATCTGGCCCAACTTAAGGTAGCATACCACAATTTATTTTTGACATAAAAATTGCATTCATATTGAAAATCATTGTATTTATGGGAATGAAATTCAGTTTGTCCTTATTTAAGATGTTCACTATATAAATATACAATCTTGACAAGGCAAATTGTTAATTTAAGGATGAGTTACAGACGACCACGAAGAGTTACGAGGGCCAGCTTAGTATGATGAGTGAACACCTGGCAGGAATGAATGAAAAACTCACCCAGCAAAAGGATGAAATTGACGACCTACGATCCCAACTTAGTACTGCTAAGGTACCCTCATCTAAGGTGCATGCTCAGTTTATTTCTACTTATTTTAGAAGCATTTTATTTTCACCTAGCATCAATAACACAAAGGAAGTAGATGACATGAGCCCCTTGATCACTGCATGCTTTACAGCATTTACTGTATTAATTTTTTGGAAAGAATTGTTATATTTTTTATTTTTTTGGTTTCACTTTCGTTATATGCTGCCTTTTTGTCAAAGCATTGTAGTTATGGGATTTTGAAAGTCATTAATACTCATGCATGCTTTAATAATAAATGGTTATAACTCATTTATGAATCCAGTGTACTCCTAATTCTAAAGCGTTTTGAGGAGAAGGGCTTGAAAAAAGACTATGCTTTTATTTTACCTGCAGAGCTTTAAATATTTACAGTTGAACTCTGGTATCTTGAACATTGGATATGTTGAACTGAGTTCCCAACACATTATCTTTCAGTAAATTAACCTTAATATCTCAATCACCTCTGATATCTGCGAGTGTTTCCTTGGTCCCTTTGAGTTCAAGATAACAAGGATTGACTGTACATGCATTTAAGCTTTAGTAAAAGTGTAATTAGCTCATTTAGTTACATGTAGTGAATTCTATATTACTCTGCTTCCTAACTTCTACTCTTATTGTTGATATGGGAATTATTATGCCCCCGTAAACAAAGTTTCGGGGGTATATAGTTTTTGTCATGTCCGTCTGTCTGTCTGTCTCTCTGTCTGTCTCTCTGTTTGTCTGTTTGTCCGCAAAAACTTTAACCTTGCCCATAACTTTTGATTTAGTGGAGGTATGACTTTCATATTTCATACGTGTATTCCTTGTGACAAGACCTTTCTTTATGTTCCACCAAATTTGACCTTTTGACCTTGACCTTGGAGTTTGACCCACTTTTACATGAAAATTTTAAACTTTTACTTTGGTCATATCTTTTGAACAATAGATACCAGGACATTTTGACTTCACATATGTATTAGTTGTTGAAAAACCTTTCATTGGATACCAACAACCTTGACCCTTTTACCTTGACCTTGTAGATTTTTGTACTTGTGAAAAAACTTTAACCTTGGCCATAACTTTTTAACGGTAAGGGATAGGGCTTTCATACTTCATATACGTAATCCTTGTGAGAAGACCCTACATTGCTTTTCAAGAACTTTGACCCTTTGACCCTGACCTTTGAGATTGACCTACTTTAAAAAAGCAAACCTTGACCATAATTTTTAAAGAGTTAGGGCCAGTGCTTTCATACTTTACATATTTGATCCTTATGACAAGACCTTTCATTTGATAACAAGAACTTTGACCTTGACCTACTTTTTAAAAAATTGAACGTTGGCCATAACTTCTGAACGGTTAGGGCTAGGGCTTTCACGCTCTACTTAAGTATTCTATGTGGCAAGACCTTTCATTTGATACTAATTACATTGACCTTTTAACCTTGACCTTGGAGATTTTTGTACTTATTTAAAAACTTTAACATTGGCTTACTTTCAAATTTCACAATTGTTTTCCAGTGAGAATACCCTACTTTTGGTACCAATTAATTAAATTTGCATTTATGAAAAGCATAATCTTTGCTATGTTGCCATACGGGGGCATCAGTGTTTCACAAACACATCTTGTTTTTTACTAGTACATATTAGTCAGATTTATATATTTTAAGTTATCCTATTTTTTTCCTTTACAGTCCAGCAAGAAGTCCAGAAAGTGAGGAATACAGTGACATTCTATAACACATTCCAGCCACTAGTTGGATCGAGGATCCATTGGGTATAATCATTATACAATGGACTTGCCATTCAATAATTGACCGTTTTAGTATTGATAAGAATAAAAACTATTGTTATAAGGTTGTTGATATGATGATATACCTTCATCATGTGAAGCCATACTTGTGCAATATTCATGTATAACTGCTATGTCAATTTGTTATCTGTGATTCATGATTTTAAATAGATTTGTTGTAGTCTTGTGTTTCTTCTTCTTTTATTTGCTGAAATACATGTACATATTAATCAACAGTGCAGTATATTGGTTGTATAATTTATTGCAATACAGCTGCATACAAGTAAAAGGACTACTGTTCCCATAAAAATAATTCCAAGATGTTAGGTAAAATTAACTATATATATTAAATGTACAATCATATATAAAATCTTTTCTTTAGAAGTAAATAAAATGAGTTAGTGTAAAACCAGGATTTGCTGCCACATGTACAATGTATTAATCACAGCCAGAACATCTTGTTAAATGACTTTGTCACTTTATGATATGGTAAAATTTATAACTTCATGCTAAAATTAAGAACTTCTAGCTAAAATCCTCAAATTCACGTTGGTTTTGGGAGGGATTCTTTGAGAATCCTTCGAAGAATTTTTCCGCTGGGGGACTTTGGGATTTCGTTGATGAACTCCACTCCTCCTCGCAGTTTTTTGTATGGTGCAACATTGCCTACAGAGGAAGCAAAACTAGTTATAAAAACATCATGGACTCAGATTGAGGCTGTAATTACTTTCTATCAGTATTAAAAGAATAAGTTAAATTTGATTTTAACAATTCTGTATAACCTTGATTTTAAATATTTAACACTGACCTTCAACAAAGGCAGCAATGTCGTGAGCTGAAGCCTCTTGGTTTGGTTTCTTGACGACGTAAGCCATGGGAACTTCTCCTCCGTCCTCATCAGGAAGTCCAATCACGGCCACATCCTGTACAGCGGGGTGCTGTAAAAGTAGGTCCTCTAGTTCTGCTGGGGCCACCTAGCAAACAAGCAAGTCTCGAGATTCAACTTTATGGTTATTTTTTTTCAAAAATAACTAAGAATATGTCAAGTGCAAAATGGAATAGAGAATAATTAGTGTGTAAAAATACATTTAATAATAATTTTTTTATAAACATTTTGGTATATATTCATGGAATAAAATTGAACACCTTTAACTGATGATATGTGACTCCTTTACTTACCTGATTTCCTTTGTATTTTATAAGTTCCTTGAGTCTGTCTGTTATCATAAACACTCCCTTCTCCTTCACGTAATGCCCTATATCTCCTGAAAGTTTAATAGATGAAAACATATTGAGAAGTTTGTGATTCATTACTAAAGTAAAACACTCTGGTTTGAAGGATTATAATGGGATAAGAATGAACCTGTATGTAGCCAGCCATCTTTGATCATGTCGTCTGTGGCTTTCTGGTTGTTGAGGTACCCCTTCATTACCTGAGGTCCCTTCACACAGATTTCTCCCACCTCCCCTTCTGGTACGTCCTCGTCAGTTTCTGGATTCACTACCTAATGGAGAGGTATTTAAAGTTAGCATTAACTGCATCAGTTATAGTAAGCATTTTTTTTTCAAAGTAAGACAAGACTTCATAAAGAGAAGATACTATATTTGATTTCATGTCAGAAGAGGATAGTGATTACGTTCCCTACACTGTGTACTGTATGGAATGAAATGGTCATTATAGATAATAGCAAGTACATTTATGTACCCTACACTGTGTATTTGGAATAGAGGGTAGTGATTACATATTTGGGATAGTGGATAGTGAATGTGTACCTTACATCGTTTGTTTGGGATAGTGGATAGTGATTATGTACTCTACACTGTGTGTTTGGGATAGTGGATAGCGATTATGTACCCTACACTGTGTGTTGGGATAGTGGATAGTAATTACGTACCCTACACTGGGTGTTGGGATAGTGGATAGTGATTACGTACTCTACACTGTGTTTGGGATAGTGGATAGTAATTACGTACCTCACACTGGGATAGTGGATAGTGATTACGTACCCTACACCGTGTGTTTGGGATAGTGGATAGTGATTATGTACCCTACACTGTGTGTTGGGATAGTGGATAGTAATTACGTACTCTACACTGTGTGTTTGGGATAGTGGATAGCGATTACGTACCCTACACTGTGTGTTGGGATAGTGGATAGTGATTACGTACCCTACACTGGGTTTTGGGATAGTGGATAGTGATTACGTACCCTCCACTGTGTGTTGGGATAGTGGATAGTGATTACGTACTCTACACTGTGTGTTTGGGATAGTGGATAGTGATTACGTACCCTACACTGGGTGTTTGGGATAGTGGATAGTAATTACGTACCCTACACTGGGTGTTCGGATAGTGGATAGTGAATACGTACTCTGCACTGTGTGTTTGGGATAGTGGATAGTAATTACGTACCCTACACTGGGTGTTGGGATAGTGGATAGTGATTACGTACCCTACACTGTGTGTTGGGATAGTGGATAGTGATTACGTACTCTATACTGTGTGTTTGGGATAGTGGATAGTGATTACGTACCCTACACTGTGTGTTTGGGATAGTGGATAGTGATTACGTACTCTACACTGTGTGTTGGGATAGTGGATAGTAATTACGTACCCTACACTGGGTGTTGGGATAGTGGATAGTGATTACGTACCCTACACTGTGTGTTGGGATAGTGGATAGTAATTACGTACCCTACACTGGGTGTTGGGATAGTGAATAGTGATTATGTATCCTACACTGTGTGTTGGGGATAGTGGATAGTGATTGCGTACCCTACACTGTGTGTTGGGGATAACACAGCCTATGGTCCCTGGGTTTGGAGGTATGACATCAAGATGGGTGACAGGACTGGTCTCTGTCAGGCCATACCCTGCAAATACATGTAAATAATGAAGCAATAAGTGATGTTAAATATGCTTGTTATAAGATGGTGGTACACTGAGGATAGATAATAAATAGAAACAGTTTAGAGATACCTTGTCTGATGACAGCGTTCAGTCTCTTCATGACCTCGTGTGTAAGACCTTCACCCAGGGGTGCTGCTCCGGATGTCATGGTATTCAGGTTACTAAGATCAAACTTGGAAACCATTGGGTGTTTTCCCAGGAACAATACAATGGGGGGCACGATATGAAGCTGTGTTACCTTGATTTAAAAAGGAAAATTGATCAACTTTGCAGTTTTCCAATCTTAGTTCACCAAATATAACGAAACATTCTATAGAAAAGTTCATTTTTTTTAAATTTTTTAAAAAGAAATATTAAGAGTCTTGCAAAAACCGGATTTTCAAAGTAATGTAAAAGCACCAAAAAGACAAGTGTACCTTCTGAGCCTCTAGAGCCTTGAGAAACTGCTCAGGGTCAAACTTTGGCAAGGTCACAAGTTTCCCTCCATCTACCAGGACTCCCATCATTACTGGACACATTCCGTAAATATGAAAGAAGGGGAGAATACCCAGGGCTGTGTCATCCTCGCTTACATTCAGAATTTGTCTACAATATACAGAGGCAAAAAACTGTTACTTTATACTGTTGTTCTTTGTAATTGACCTTATATATGCCATTAACCAAAATATTGATTAGATTCATATAGAATTCTTTACTATGCCATGATTGTTGGTTAGTGATACGCATTGATGAATTAAAAAGAATTGTGCTTCTGGAAGTCTTTATGGACTAAGATTGTATACAAATCATATGTAAACCAAGTGCTTACATCTATCATCTCTGTACTAATCCACTTTATCACATGCAAAAAAAAAACACTGAATAAATAAGTTGTGTAGCAAAAATTAAATACAGATCATAGTGTGAGTAAATACCTGAATTGCTGCAGGTTGGCAACAAGGTTATCGTGGGTTAACATGACTCCCTTGGGGAGCCCCGTGGTGCCACTAGAGTATGGGAGAACACACACATCCTCCAGGGGATCAATGACAATGTTTTCTGGGAAAGCTTTTCCATCGTCTTGCATAAGGTTAGCAAATGGCCTACATCCCTCACTCTCCCCAAACACAGTGATGCTCTACCAAATCAAGAATGGTTTCTACTATACAAAACACTAAAATATACAATTTGTATTTTTAAAGGCTTGTGAGTCTTGTGATTCTTTTTTACTCTACCACTCACACATTTAGACACACCTACAGGCAGATTGGGGATTAGAGCTTAATATTTGGAGAAAGAGGGATAATTTTGTTTAAAAAGTAATTGTTTTGAAGCAATATTTTTTAAAAATGTTAAATTGTTAAACCCTGAATTGATCTTTTTATTTCTAACAAGAGTTAGTTAGATATGCACATTTTCAAGTGTTTTAATGAGTATAGATAGAAAGACAAGTACATACATTTTAAGTGTGAGGAATGTATAATCAAGTTAATATAATCAAGTTAATTAAAAGTGTATATTAAGGGGCAATATCCGGCCTCTACTCCAAATTTCACAATTTTTTTAAAAAAATTCCAAACACTGATTTTCATCAACAACTATAGCATTAAATTCAAATGGAAAATAGTTTGAAGTATGAAGCGGTGCTTACTTTTTCAGAAATGAATAATCTGTCAAATCATGACGTGAAGAAAATTTATGGTAAATAGAAAGATCAATTATTTTTTATCTCACAAAAAAATTAAAAATATGAGGTATATATGGAAATAATATTTACTCTCATACCTATCTAATTCTCATTAAAAAACATTTACTGAAGCATTGGTTTTTAAATCAGCTAGAATATCAATTAAATTGTTTTCAATATGCATCAATCAACAAGAGTTATCTTTCCATCATCACTCTTGAAAATATTTTTTAGTGAAACAAAATATTAATTAAAAGTAAACAATTCTGCATCTGAAATTTCTGTAACAATTAAATGTATTATAAGATTAGAGATAGAAATATCTCAATTTACACCGTTTAAAGGAACTGAGTTTAAATGTTTTAGGTAAAACATAAATAATTAATAAAAATATTGGCAATAGAAACTAGAAATCCACATCTGAACGTTGTACTAGATTCGATTGAGTTGACTATAAATTGGTCCTTGTGAATGAAATCTATAAAATCTGACGTGACAATTCATTGAATTTCATGGGAAATTGTCTTCAGAAAGTTATCTCTCTTAGCAGAGGGATATTACCCTTTAATGTATATATATACGTACATTTTTCAGCGATTGCAGGGAATCAGAGCTATCAATGGCATCCTTGACAACAGGCACCAGCTGTGGAATAGTAAACACAGCCTTTGCATTGGCATGTTCTAGCTGTCGAGAAAGCTCGCCTGGAAATTAACAGATATCTCATTTGCACTTTTAATACTGTATATACAGGGAAATTTTCACTCTCGTTTTATTTTCGCCCCTTTCGCCCTACCCTCATTTGGTCAAATTTAAAACGGGGCAAATTCAAAGAATACAGTATAATTTCTTAAACAAAACTATGATTGGGCGAATTTAAAGCAGGGCAAAATTGTTTGTAGGCCTAAGTGTGAATAGCGAAAATAAGACGGGCGAAAATTTATAACCCCTTCACAGTACCTTATATTAATTTATGTGTTTCTGGTAACATGATTGTAAAACTTGATAGGCCTATATATGTTTAACCTACTTTTTAGGGGGGAAATCCGTTAAAATATGATGAGTCAAACAGAAGTTGTCATCAACAAAAGATATTACACAAGATGTTTAATAACTATTAAGATAGCGTAAATCGATGTCTGGTACCTGCCGTATATGCTGGGTTTGAAGTTGTGACAATTATCCCTGCTGAAGCTGCAGCCAGTAAGAGGATAGTGAATTCTGGGATATTGACACTGTGGATAGATATGACGTCACCTTTCTTATATCCTAACCTCGTCAGTGCACTGGCCACTTTCACTACACATCCCCTTAGTTGACTGTAGGTGTATTTTCTATCTGTTGGAAAATCCACCTGTAGAAGATAACATTTTATTAAATTAGTTTATAAATGACACAGCACTTACAGGAATCTGAATAGGGCCATCATCGCATGATCATCGAGGGTTGGGTCATCATCACAATCCATCGCGAAAATGCGATGACGCGATAATGAAGTGATGGTGCGTTAACAATGAAACGATGGTACGATAGTGCAATGATGATGATGCAATAATGCCATGTCTATGGTGCGATAGCATTATGCAACGATAGTGAATATCGCTTCATTGTTATGGAACCATCGTGCCATCTTCGTCGCACTATCGTGTCATTGCTATCGCACCATTATGGAATCCCGAAAGGGCCACGCAGTTTACTATTGACTATCGCATCATCGCACCATCGAGGTTTGGGTTGATAATGCGATGATACGATAATACAATGACGATGAAGCAATGATGCGATAACGATGAAGCGATGGTGCGATAGCACGATGACAATGAAGCGATGGTGCGATAATGCGATGACGATGGTGCGATAGCACGATGGAGCGATAGTTCGATGACGCGATGGTGCAATAGCGATGACATGATGGTGCGATGACGATGGTGAGATGATATGATAACGATAAAGCGATATTAACTTTTACTCTATCTTTCTATCACACCATCGTCATCGCATTATCGTGCCATCGCATCATCGTCATCGCGCTATTGCACCATAGCTCCATCGTCATCGCACCATCGCTTCATTGTTATCGCGCCATCGCATTATCGCGTCATCGACCTTTTAGACGATGCTCGATGGTGCGATAGTGAACTGCATGGCCCTATCCGGATTCCATACACCATTGCTTTGTTGTGTTAATCATGGAATCCGGATAGGGCCACGCAGTTCAATATGGCATCATCGCACCATCGAAATTTGAGTCGATGGTCCGATGACGCGATAATGCGATGACGATGACGCCATGGTGCGATTACAATGAAGCGATGACACGATAGCGCGATGACGATAATGTGATGGCACGATAGCGCGACGACGATGATGCGATGGTACGATGAAGCGATAATGCGATGACACGATGGCACGATAGTGATACTGCGTTGATGCGATAGCAATGATGCGATGGCGCGATAGTGATGATGCGATGCTATATTGTGTCATCGTTATTGCTTTATCGCGCTATCGACATCATGTCATCGCACCATCGCTCTATCGACTATATAGATAGGATGGCATTCCCAGCAGTCATTGCACAACATCGCGTTTGTTGATGAAAAGATTCAAGAATATTTCATTAACGGATACGATAATAAAGAAATCATGGTTTTATACAGAAGAACTTCCATGTGTATTACCATTAGTAGTTAAAAGTCAAGCAAAGATTTGATTGCCCAGTGATAATAAATTGACTTTAAATTTGTATTTGATAATCATATTTTAAATAACAAACATGAAGTACATGTACCGAGAGGAGAGAGGGAGGAAGACTTATGTCTTTTGTTTGCTTTTAATTTTCTTGATTGTGAATACTGTATTTAACGGTGCTAAAATTTCACGATTTCTCAGAAAGTACAATAGCGATGGTTTTTATTTCACCAGGGACCTATATACTGGTATATAGGTCCCTGATTTCACGATGCAAGAAATTGATTTAAATTTCGTATAAGCATTTACTCGTTTTTAATAGTTAAAGATAGCATTCACGATGGGTTTAATTCTGCGGATAAAAGATGAATTGCAAACATAGTGAAACTAAAACCATCGTAATTATTTTCCAATCCACAATATTACCCCCCCCTCCCCCCCCCCCCCCCCCCGTTTAAAAACTAAAATCTAGATCACGCGGATTTCGATTTCTTTTACATCAGTCTCAAGATGAGTATATTGTCAAACTTATCTTGATTATCAAACTATATTTTCACAATCTTCTAACTAGTTATATGTCTGGCAAGAAAGACATGGTTAATTTTAATGCCCAAGTGAAGTTTTTTAACCCAGTAAGATCTATTTCTGATATATATTCTGTTCATATCTTCACTACCTGACGCCATTTCTATTCTCAATAGCGCATGCGCAAAAGAGTCGATAGCACGATAGTGCGATAATGCGATGACGATAGTGCGATAGAGCACTGATGATGACACGATAGAGCATCGCTTCATCGTTATCACGTTATCGTATCATCGCTATCGCACCATCGCAGCATCGCTATCGTGCCATCGCGTCATCGCACCATCGCTTCATCGTCATCACACTATCGCGCCATCGCATCATCGTCATCGCGCTATCGCACCATCGCTTCATCGTTATCGCTTCATTGCTTCATCGTCATCGCATTATCGCGTCATCGCACCATCGACTCAAACCTCGATGGTGCGATGATGCGATATTGAAATGCGTGGCCCTATCAGGATTCCATAGTTAATGCACCATCATCATCGCATTGTCGCTCCATCTCATCATCGTAATCACATTGTTGCTTCGTTATCACACCATAGCTTCATCTTTATCGCACAATCGACCTGAACCTAGATAGTGCTATAGTGTATTACAAGGCCTTATCTGGATTCCATTTGTATGGAATTCAGATAGGATCGTGCAGTTCATCACCATCATATCATCGCACCACCAAGGTTAAGGTCGACAGTATGATGACGTGAAATGCGATGATGATCAAGCAATGGTGTGACAATACGATAGCATGATGGAGCAATAGTGTGATGACGCGATGGTGCAATGATACGATAACGAAGAAGCAATATTCTATGGAATCCGGATAGGGCCACGCACTTCATTATCGCACCATCGAGCATCAACTTAAAGGTCGATGGTGCGATAATGCGATGGCGCGATAACGATGAAGCGATGATGCGATAGCGCGATGACGATGATGCTTTGGCGCGATAATGCTATGGCGATGGTGCGATAGCACGATTGAGCGATAGTGAATATCGCTTCATCGTCATCGTACTATCGCACCATCGTCATCGCATCATCGTGTCATCACTATCGCACCATCGCGTCATCGTACCATCGCGTCATCGCATTATCGCACCATCGTCATCGCATTGTCGCGCCATAGCATCATCGATCGCGCTATCGCACCATCGCCTCATCGTCATCGCATTATCTCTTCATCGCACTATCGACCTAAACCTCGATGGTGCGATGATGCGATAGTGAACTGCCTGGCCCTATCCGGATTCCATAGTAAATTATCACTGGGCAATCAAATCTTTGCTCGAATTATCTACCTGCTGAGAATGCCATCCTATCTATATAGTCGATAGAGCGATGGTGCGATGACACGATGTCGATAGCGCGATAAAGCAATAACGATGGCACAATGTAGCATCGCATCATCACTGTCGCGCCATCGCATCATCGCTATCGCACCATCGCTATCGTGCCATCGCGTCATCGCATTATCGCTTCATCGCATCATCGCCATCGCATTATCGTCATCGCACTATCGCGTCTTCGCTTCATCGTTATCGCACCATCGCGCCATCGTCATCGCATTATCGCGACATCGTACCATCGACTCAAAACTCGATGGTGCGATGATGCGATAGTGAACTGCGTGGCCCTATCCGGATTCCATATCATCCTACTATTGCTTCACTGTTATCGCGCCATTTCATGATTGCACATCGACCTTTAAGTCAAAGCTCAATGGTGTGAAAGTAAACTGCATGTTATGGATTCTGGATTGGGCCATGCAGTTCACTATCGCACCATCAAGCATCAACTAATAGGTCGATAGCGCGATAATGCAATAACGATGAAGAGATGGTGAGATGATGATAGAGCTATGGTGCGATAGCGCGATGACGATGATGCGATGGCAAAATAATGCAATGACAATGGTGCGATAAAACGATAGAGTAAAAGTGAACATCGCTTCATTGTCATCGTTATCGCGCCATCACATTATCGCGCTATTGTGTCATCGCTATTGCACTATTGTGTCATTGCTCCGTCGTGCTATCGCACTATCGTCATCGCATTATCGCGCCATCGCTTCATCCTTATTGTTGTGAGATGTGTATTGTTTCATTATGTATATAATTAGTAACATTAAGTTTCTTGAACATTCCAGAGTGGTCAACATGTTTGGTCATTTTATCTAGAACATTCTTAAATTTTGTGTATGTCCAGATTGTTCCAGTAATATCATGTTTTAACAATTTCTGGAATATTCTAGATTTATATTACTGTATAAATACCCTGTCAATTCGATGCATAATAATACTTTGTCGTATAAGCACTATTGAGATATAACTGGGATATATATTTTCACTGGGACATTGTGTGCAGAAACGGACACTCTGATGTATGTATTTTTAGATTCTTGCTAAGTTTGTACTTTATGTTTGATATATATATTATATATTACTGTAAATAAATTATTGTTAAGTTTAAATTGTGTTATTGATCTTTGCTGGCATTTCGGGTAATTCTGACCCATAACAGAATTGGGGGCTCGTCCGGGATAAAGAATTTCTTGCACTTTTGCAGTTTATTGTCAGAATTTTTGTTAATTGAACCTTAAATTTAATTATAAGCCAGCAGAAATCAACATGGTGTTTTCGGTCACAGACTTTCTTAGTTCACCAAGTGTTCAGGTTTTTGATACGTTAAAAAAGGATGACTTGATCGCATTAGGTTTGCATTTTGGGTTAGATGTTAAATCCTCTCAGAGAAAGCAAGACATTAGAATTAAGGTTGCAAACAAACTAGTAGAAGAAAACATCTTTGAAAAATACGATCTTCCAGAATATACAGTTAAATCAGAGTTAGGCTCTTATAAAATGGCAGAATATCAGTTTCAATTAGAGTTAGAGAAAATGCGATTTGAAAGAGAAAAATTAGAAAGAGAAAGAGAAGAACGAGAGAGTGAACGAAAATTTGAATTAGACAAATTAGAAAGACAAGAGCGAGAAAGAGAAAGACAAGAGCGAGAAAGAGAGCGTGAAATGAACTTTGAATTAGAGAAATTAAAATTACAGAACCAACCAGAACCGT